TAGCTGTTTATAGAGGCACATTTTAATAAGCAATTTTAATAAAGTGCATTAATTATGGGAGGATACAACAGAGATATTAAAGTCAGTCAGGATGTGAGCGTTGTGTAGGATGTCAGCAAAGTTATTGTCCAAGCAGATATTGGAGGAGTGAATAAATCACACTGCTATGAATATTCTTGTTCTGGTCTACTGGCAAACAGGTGCAAATATTGATGTTGGGGTTATCTGTAGGAGTAGAGCAATTGGGTCATAAGCATGCATGTATATCTTTAGCTTTAGTGAAGACTGCCTAGCAGATTTCCAATAAGTTCATCACAGTTTACACTTCTGCCAGCAGTACATGATTGTGTCACTTGTTCAGCAGCCTGGTGATTAATTGGCAGATGAAATAAAAGGAAAATGAGTGTTATTTAGATGTGGTGCTTAGAGGTGAACATAATGTTACAAGGTGAGGGACAACAAATTCAAACATCTAAGAAGAGAAAACATGACTTGATTAAGTTAACAAGATATTATGATGGCTGTGTTTGTAAATGAGCATTAGTAGTCAATGAGATAAAACAGTAAGCTGACATAAAATCATGAGAGGCTTTGCTAGGTATAAGAAAAGCTTGCGATTTACCTTCAAGGTAACAGGAAGCCAATAAAAGCCTTTCTCAGCCTTAAAAGGGTAAACATGGAAAGTGGGGATAAAAGAGCTTCAAGGTTCAATTAAGCAACCATTATGAGAAATACAGGAGAAAAATATTATGTACTGGACCAGGCTATTGGTAATTGGGAAATTCATAGCTATGTGGTAGGCGATAGATGATAGCTAGATAGCTAGATAGATTTATTTCAATTTGGGAGCACTTCAGTATTTTCATGTTAAGTTTGAGATGCCTCTGAGCTATTGGTTGCATGTTGGGCTGTAAGGTCTGCAGTTCGAAATCACCAGCTGCTCTGCCCACCAAGAGTTAACAGTCTTGGGAACTCACAGGGGCAGTTCTACTTTGTCCTACAGCATCACTATAGGTTGACATAGCTGGAACAGGTGCTCAGTGTGGCAGTTGGAGCATCTCTCATGATCATAATCATAATCAACACCATGACGGGCTCTGCTGTGAGAAACCAGTTGTGGGAAGATTAGGGTAGTGTTAGCCTAAATCAAGTCAATAACTGATGGAATCAGAAGAACATTTCATCAGGGATGTGACATACTCCTATAAAAGTTGATGCTGTGCAGAGGCCAGCTCTCATTTCTTGCTGGTCCAGACGCTGCATTTGGCTTATATTGTTATTGTTAGGTGCCATCAAAGCGGTTCCAACTCAGAGCTC